CGGCACCGTCAAGGGCAAGGAGGTGAGTCTGGCCCTGTCCCGGGTGGTCCCGGTGCTCCCTCAGCCGGGGAAACGAGTCGCCAGTGGAGCCTGGCTGGGCGCATATCCCGCAGGCCCGCGGCGCTGCCCCGGCTGGGCCTGCCGGGTGAGCAGGGGGTTGTTGGGCCTCGGTGGAGGAATATTGAGTACCCCCAAGTCCCCGTTTCCCCGGCCCTGCGGGCCGACTGCGGCCTTTCCTGCCTTTAACAATGGCCCTTGGGCTTTCTTCAAGGCTTAACATGTGATGTGAAGAGGGCTGAGTTTGGTTTCCTGAATCTCTACGCGGGTGCAAATAAACATTCTGTGAGGTGGGATGGGGGTGAGGAGCGAGTCTGGGGCATTTGAGGTTGATGTAGCTGAAATCCTGACGCTTAAAACGATTGATCTTCTTTGGTAACAGGGCAAACATGCTTGTCATGCTGGTCTCCAGAAACATATATAGCCTGGAGTTTAGTTAAAATCTTAACATTGCTATTGGCTGGGTATTTGAAGCTGGATCTTTAACTGCTTATGTGCCTGCTGCATTCAAATATGCAAAATGCACAGATTTGGGTATAATTGCTGGGTAGCTTGCATGTATGTGTTATGATAAATAAATCTTCATGAAGATGCCTCAAAATACAGCAAGTTTTTTTTATATTCTTGTATAAGTGTATATATACAATGTATATACACTTACACATTATGCTGTCCGCATATATGTGTTTCTGAGCTAATTCACTTTCCAATTAGTTACTTATAGATTCCATATAAATAAAACTTTACAGATAATTTCTCTCCTGTTAGGATGTGTTATCTCCACATTTTAAAGAAGTTTGCCTTCATGTTTTTGCTCTTTTTATGGACTCTTATTTAAGTAATTTAGAAGTTAAGTGAGAACTCAAGAATGTCCTGAAGTGCTGCTTGTGTTGCTTTGCTTGAGCTGCTGTGACACTGGACTTCTCATGTGTGAGTCATTTCAGCCCATTCAGCTGGGTTAGCTTTGAAAAACGGAAGGTTGAGTGCTGCTGTCTCTTGTGCCAAAGCCTGCTCTTGGCTGCCTGCCTGCTGTTCCCTCTGCCTGCACCACAGCAGGATTGTGAGGAGGGTCAGGCAGGCAGCATTAGCTGGCCTTAGGTGAAATCACTCACAATAGCAAGTGAAAATGCAGGTGAATTGATTTGTGGATTAAATGCTGAATCCTTTATTTCCCAAAGTCTAAGCAGCTCTTTGAAGTTTATTTCAGTAAGTGCAATCACAGTAAATGCTTAATGCTCTCCTAGAGCCAAAGTCACGGAGTGGCTGAGATTTACTAAGATTAGCAGTAAGAGATTAAAGCAGTTGATGCTAAATGTGCTTTGCCTGTGTCTTCAGAAGTGCTCTACTGCACCTGCGGAGCTGCATGGTGTTTGGCAGATGAGGGTAAATGGCTTAAGGAGCACATTTCTTCCAGTGTATTTGGATGTAGGAGACTACTCATAATATGAACTGCTGTCTTGCCATTCTGGGTAACTTTAAGTTAGAGTTTGGCAGGCAGTGGGTCAGGTTTGTTTGACTGTACTGAAAGCCAAGGTTAAAAATAAAATAAACATGCTGTAAGTGGCAGCAGCAATCTTCTGCTCTGTAAAATCCTACTTTTGCTCTTGTAGATTGATATTAAAGATGTGATAACAATAAATCCTGAGTTATCAGAAGAACTACCTGCTGCTGATGTGAAAGAGAACCTTCCTTTGCAAGAGAATGTAAGCGTACAGGTAAGTGTTCTAAAAGGATTTGGTCTCTCCTAAGGTACTTATGTATCAACAGCATGGGTCTTGTTATAAGTAATATCCTCAGTCTTAAAGTTTGAGGTCTCTAACTTGTCTTTTCCATCTCATAGTTAGACTTTGGTCAGAAATTCTTGTTGTATCAATGTCTTGAAGTGCTATGCTAGGAATTTGCAGCTTACTCTGATAACTTACAGCATTCATTTTTTTTTTTTTTTTTTTTTTCAGAAACAGAAGCGCAGATCTACCCTTTCAAAAATCCCTGCTCCACGGGAAGGTGAGGAAATATTCTTCTGTGCTATATGCTCCTGTAAAACAGTAATGTGTTTTCATTGTAGCCCTAATATTCTTCTTCAGTAGCATCATAAGGTTGCTTGTCCAGGCAATGCTAACAAAGAGCATAATGTTTCATACTGACATTTTGGACTCCAGAGTGCAGAAACTTTGCTAACAGATTGCTGTCCTGTTGCTGTGAGCTGGGGCTTGTTGACATGTTGCCCTTTTCTGCAGCATTGCTGTAGTTATTCCTTGATGCTGCTTTTAAATGTCACTAGGCAGTTCCTGTGGCAGTGAGTATGAAAGTTTTGTATGGAGCTTTTGCAAATGCCACAAACAACAAAAGGTAAGTGGGAGTTATTAAAAGTGTCAAAATGAGAGTGGAAAGGGCAATAAAGAAATAGCAGTGACAAATGGATGTCTTCTCTTCAAACAGTCCCCCTAGACAATAACTAGAGCTTTATCCTTGGAGACATTTCAGACCAGGCAGACAAAGTGCCCGCTGGTGTGCTGTAGCTCAGTGATTGTATGTCAGCACAATGTTTTGAGCAAAGCCAGAAGAGAAGATACACATGTCAGAGCATGGGATCACTGAGGAACTGTTTTTCCTGAGGTGTCAGGAGCTAGAAAACTCCCATGTTTTCTACCTTCTTTTAGCTTATTAGTTGATTCTTTTGGCTTTTTGAATTGCAAGTGGCAGCATTACAGGTCTATTTGTAATACTTGTGTGGTGCTGAGGTTGGATGGTTGCTACTTTAATGATTCTCTTCAAGTGCATTGTTAGCCAAAACTTGTGCTTTCCTGTGCAACTGAGCTGTAAACAAAACAGCTGGGCTTGTCTGGCCTTGTTTCTATGTGATGCAAGACAGGGAAGCCAGTACTAGAAGATGACAGTTACAAATCCCCTTGTAAGAGAGAAGCAGGAGTAGTCCAAGAAGCTTAATATGTCAAAAGTTGTTCTGTGCTGGAACATCCTGATGTTCCTCGAATCCAGAGAGCTCTCCATAAACTTTGTGAACTGGAAAGCAGAATGATGTGATGGTCATGACTGTCTCTAGGCAGTTTCAGTTAATGGAGTTGGGTCGCCAGCTGGAAAAAGAGGTGTGTTAATCCAGTCAGTGATGGATGGAAAAATGTCCTCACAGAGGTCATGGCTTTCCTGAAGTATAGAATCTAATTTCAAATCTGAAATATCTGTTGCCTTTCCTACAGGCTCACTCTTGTGCTCTGAGCAGGTCTTCAGGGACAAGAGAGAAGCAGTGCTTTCAGTATTCCCCGAATAGTGTTATCTGTTGTTATAACTAGCTAAACCCCATGAGTGTCAATGAGTGTCCATCCTATTGCAGACTGCACTGTGCCAATTAGAAAGCTAACACTGGCTACAGGTTTTGGTTCTTGGACCAAAAAACTAAAGATCTAGGAGGTATCTGTCCCAATCTCATTCGGGGAAGTGACAGAAGAAGAAGCAGTGCTTTCAGAATGAATTAAGAAACAGATAGTGCCTTAGTCCTCTGAATCAAATAAGAATTTTGGAGGATGCTGAATATCGTCTCATATAATAATCACCTGAATCAAACCCATCTGGCTGCAGCAATCCTCCAGTCAATATGCCTGTCTAGGAGCAGTAGCATTACAGAAAACGTGCTGCCAAGTTTGTGGTGAGATGAGGTCTGGAAGTGTGGCAAAAGCAAATGGAATAAAATGTCACCTTTGAGTGTAATGAAACTGATGCTTTTTGTTCCTAAAGTTGCAGCAGCGACACCTAAGGTCTCTACACCTGAGCAGAGGATTTCAGGTAAAGAGTTAAGATAGGAGCACTGAAATTTGTGGATACGGTTCTCAGGTAATTCGATCCAGAATTGGAATTAAACCTTGGTCTGAAATAGATCTGGTGTCCTTTGGAATCGTAGTGATTAATTCTGGATAAGTTCTTGTGGTTGCTAGAGGTGAAGGTAGCTCTAGCTTGTATATCACTTCTATTTTTTTCATATCAGGTTTGCTGTCTTTATGAATCTATTGAGGTGTATGTTCCAAACCCTCCCCTAGGAAGCTTTGTGATGATGGACTTGCTCTCTGAAAGAAATACCTGTGTAACAATGGAGACTGCCTACAAAAGGACCTTTGATTTGCTGTTGTGATTATACAGTCTTTTAGCTGTATTTATCAAGCTCCCACTCCACTGTGCACCACGTACCCTGCATCTGAGTATGGGTGCTGAGATGGTGGGCATGATGCTGCCTGTGACCACTGCCTGGTTGCAGTACTAGTGTCACCATCAAACAGCTAATGCCCTGCAAGTGTGAAGCTTCAGAAGATTTCCCAGTTCCCAAACTTGTAACTTGCCCCTTCCTAGGTACTAAGGTTCTGGAGCTGCCATGTTAGGGAATCCTTAGCAGTATCTGAAAGAAATTCAATGGAACTGCAAATCTGGGATGAACTGCTTGCTTTCCTGTAGTGGTGTGTTTCATGATCACTTTTCACCCACCTGCATTTTCACTGATGCACTTTGCTAATGCATCAAAATCTGGAAAAGGTCCTTTTAGCCACACTTTGTTCCCTTTTGTTCTGCACTTGGTGAGCATTTGAATACTTGCAAATGTCTGAGTGTCTGAGGGATGATACTGACCTTGAGTTTGTGTTTCCAAAGCTGTGCGTGGCCGTTCCAGGATGTCTGTTATCGCAGAATCTCAGTGCAGCCTCCAGGAAAATGAGATGGGGGTAGATCCCTGCACTTCTGCACAAACCAGAAACAATGCATCCATTCCTGGTGAGTGGAGAAAGAACCCAGTGAATTCTTATTATGAGGCAACATGGGTTGTATACATTTAAATAGATAAACTGAAAATCCCAAGGGAATGAGCAACTTCTACTCTTTTATATAAAACAAGAGAGTCCTAGAGGCCTATCACAATGTAAATATTCAGGGTTCCTGCCTTGAAAGGCTTTATTAGCCAGAGAGCTGCACTTGTGGATATGGGATCTGCTTAATGGCATAAAGTGGTATTCACAGGGCTGGAGTGGGAAAGGAAGTACCTTAATACTGCTGACAACATGCTCTGTAACTAGTTGTTGTAGTTTTACCTACATCACTTGAGTAAAGCAAGAACTTGAGTCTACTTAAATTACTAAATTGTAGTTATTTATTGTTACCAAACCTATGCTATAAATAGCTGAGGGAATGCCTCGTTGTATTAAGTTCTGCTTACAAGACATTGAAATAAGAGATTTGGTACTAAGTTCTTGTCTAGTTGGTGTGGCCTTGACTTGTAGCTTTGAATAGAAGTTCGTGGTTGGCAAGGGATTAAAAAAGTAATTTGCATGCCAGGTTTTAGCCAGTTCTCTCACCTGATCTAGAACCAGAGTTGAGGAATGCCTGTGGTCTGCAAGGCTTTACTGATTGTAAAATTGTTCTTGATCTTAGGGATCTAATTACTGGGTTTGGTCTGGCTTCTTTCTGCAGCTGGCAGAACCAGGACTAGCAAGCTGAACTGTGTTTCAGAAGCCTCAGTGACAAATGTCAATGGAAATACAGAGGATCATCTGCCTCTGGCCAGAATCTCTTCAGTGAGCCCAGGTACCAGGGAGCTGTGGGTTAAGAGCTGACTCACTAGTCAGTGATGCACTACTAAGTGATTGCTGCTCTGTATTCTCCAAGACTAAAGCTTGAAAAAGGTGACTGTGGCAGTAAGACTGAGTATCTTCAGTATTTTTTATTACAGATGTGTAATTCTGTTACAGTGGTATCACCTTAGAAATGTTGCCTTTACTGTAGAGTGGCAGTGGGACTTCCTGAGCAGTTTGCGGTGGGTAGATCTGGTTGGGAAGAGGAAATGCTGCAAGATGAATGACATCCTTCTGAAGATGATTGTTTCCTGTACAAGCTAGTCTGGCAGCAATGTGGAAAAGTTGAAATATTTGTGTTGTGCTTAAAACCTAGTGTGGAAATTTAATCCAAGGAAATACTTTTATTTTATCTAGTTCGGAGAAGATCCAACATTGTGAAAGAGATGGAGAAAATGAAAAACAAGAGGGAAGAAAAGAGAGCTCAAATCAGTGAAATCAGGACAAAGCGTGCACAGGTGGAGTACTCTACAATACACTCACAATGGGACATTGCTTAAGGACAGTGTATCGCAATATTTGAAACTAAACCATATTTTGGACAGGCTTTGTTCATGTGAAGCTGTACATAAGGATGAATTGATTATAGTTTTGGAAAGTTCTTAATATTGTGGAAAATTTCTAATTGCATACAGCTGATGGTTTATCATGCTCTGGGGCTTTTTTGCTGTTACACATTAATTACATTCACATCCATGTGTTTTCCACGCAGGAATTTGACAGCAGCTGTCCAAACTGGGAGTTTGCGAAGATGATTAAGGAATTCAGAGCAACTCTAGACTGCCAGCCAATATGTATAACTGATCCAGTAAGTAAATGCTGAAGCTGCAGACTGCAGCCTGTGGACAGACTATTTTGCACTGGAGATGTTGGCATATGAACAATTCAGTGTATCACTGTACCTTAGAAATCCTCTGAGCATATTGTGATCTTGAGGCACCTGGTGGTATATGTGAGGTTATTTACCTTTCCTATTTAGGGCTAAGCTGCCTTGCACTGCTTTTCATGTGTCATTAGTAAAGAGCTTGCACTTCAACAATTATCATTATTTGCATGGTAACATCAGTACTTTTCAGAGCTTGTAAACAGCAGAGCCTATTACATAGCTTAGCTTGTTGTAGGTATAACTTAAAGCAGATTATTACCCCATAACAGGAAGTGTTATTGTATGTAAGTCATATATATTAAGTAATTTTAAACTAGGTCAAAAAATGGAGGAGCAAAAGTAGAGGTCAAGAATTTAAAACAGAACAAAACAACCCCAGAAAAACCAGGCTCAGTTTATCTTCAGCAATTACAAAGGCAGCGTTGTTTAACAAGGCTTTTGCTAGACAAGGACTACTTATTCTCAGGTGTTAGTCAGTGAAAAACGGTAGTGCTTCAGTTCAAATGAAAAAGTAGGTGTGGACTAGCTCAGAACACTGGGTGGTTTGTATGCCTGCATCCTATGGGGCTGACAACCAGCTGCTGGTGTAAGCATCACCACATGATAGAAGAAGAGTTTGTCATCTTTCTGCCTCATCCAGTGGAATATGCACTTTCCTAAACTCATCTGGTGTTTAACTGTGCTGGACAAATTGCTAAACTTACTGCATCAGTAAAATACTCCAGGTCAAAAAATACCCCTGGGGTAAATAAAGATAACAATTTGACTGTAGTTGCAGAATTGATATGGCAGTTCTTACTGGAAAGCTGGCCAAGGACTGAACTCTCTACTAATTCTCATATAGGATATTTGGGGCATTTTCTATAGCATGTCAGCATTTCCACCCGATATGCTGGAGCATGCTGTGTAAATAAAGCTCAATTGTTTGTAGTGCTGCTTTTGCACTGAGCAGACTTAAGACTTGCATCCCTGCATAGACTAGGTTGGATCAGTAGTGGAGGCAACTCCGATCAGCATGTAGGAAAGTACACTGGAACATTGGATCTTTCTCTCTGTAATACTAAGTAAATATGGGACTAACCAGGAAATAATTACTTGTTTTCTTTTAGATAGAAGAACATAGGATTTGTGTCTGTGTGAGGAAGCGCCCTCTCAATAAGCAAGGTGAGTGTACTGACAAAGCAGCTCTGTCTTGGAGCGGTTTGGCATTGCTTGCTCTTATTAAAACTGAGGGTCTTTTCTGTCCACAGAACTGCAAAAAAAGGAATGTGATGTTGTTACTGTTCCAAGCAAGTGTGTCCTGCTGGTGCATGAGCCAAAGCAGAAAGTGGACCTAACAAAATACCTTGACACTCAGGCATTTAGATTTGACTTTTCATTTGATGAATCCTCTTCTAATGAAATGGTATACAGGTAATGCTTTCTTCTCATTGGGAATGACTTTGAAGCTTAAAGCATGGAGCTGTGGATAGATGGCATCCTGGCTTAAAGAAACTGCAACTTGAAATAAATATTAAAGTAATTTTTTGGAGGAAACCAAAGGACTGAAAAGTCTAAAGCCTTTTTTTGGCATGGTCTCGCAGATTTCCTAAGGATTTGCTTTTATTTGCTCTTTTTTTTTTTTTTCCTTTCTTTTTAGAAAAACTGATGAAGCAGGGTGTGAAATGTTTGTCTTAACTGTCTTTTACCTTCTCAATACCCAGGTTCACTGCTAGACCTCTTGTGGAGACCATCTTTGAGGGTGGGAAGGCAACATGTTTTGCTTATGGCCAGACAGGCAGTGGCAAGACACATGTAAGTTCTCCAACATCTCAAATTCTGTAGCTTTATCTGAAGTATTGTAAAGCTCCTTGATGATGATAATGAATAGGATTGTGTAAGGAGTTTGGATCTTGGTTTGTTTTTTTTTTTTTTTTTTTTTTTCTCCTTGAAGCTAATACTTTGCCATCTCTTAATCTTCTTTTTCAGTAGCTTTATGTATTACTGGGGTTCCTTTGAGGTTGTGAGGAAAATCATACTAAAATCCCCCCATAGCTGGCTTTTTAAAGATTTATGATGTCTTAACATGCTAGTCATGGCTATTCCTTGCTGTTGCAGTTCGGCCTGCTGCTGAACTCCAGTCTGCAAAGTGGGGCTGTTAGCCTACCTCTGAGACAAAGGCTATTTTCTGTACTGTGTTGTGAGTTTGGAGGCAAGACTTTAGCAATTGTAAAAGAATAAGCCTCTTGTTGCACATAAATGTTTAAGTGATTTGGTATTGTTGTGAAGTGAGCAAATTAGTGTGACTTTCTAACCATACCTTCCAGTCTACCAGTTGCAGCTTCAAGAGACCTGTGGAGTCAAATCTGCTGTCTTACTCTGCAAGAAGCCTTTACTTCAGACCGTAGTGATCTGGACTAAGCTAGGCTAGCCTGCCAGTTTGAGTAATCAGACAGACACTGTCATTTCAGTGTTAGAGCCAAGTTTTAGGCTAGGATCTCCTATCATTAGTGATATGCAGTGAGCTGTAGATTTCTTCAAGTAATCTTGAAGGAAATTTGGAATTTTATAGAAGTTTGGACATAGGCTGCCTCCATTGCACTGGAATGGGCAAACATGCTAATCTGAGAATCATTACAGGAATACAAATGTGAGGCACTAAAATCATAGGCACTGAAGTCCCTTGCTCTAGGGTGCAGAAGGAGTGCAAGGACAATAGCTGTAGCATGACACTGGAGTGCTGCATGTTAAACTCTGGCAAACTGACTGTGTCACAGGATTGCCCCATCCCTGGCAGTGTTCAAGGACAAGTTAGATGGAGTTTGGAGCAACCTGGTCTAGTGGAAGGTGTCCCTGCCCATGGCAGGGGGTTGGAACTAGATGATCTTTAAGGTGCCTTCCAACCCAAACCATTTTATGACTCTGACTGAGTCATGTTTTAAAAATTGAGGCAGTTTCATACCATGATGGTAGAGCAAGTTGCCAGGACAGGACCAAATGAAAATGTTGGGATTAAAGGTCAAGGGAGTTAAAGGCATTGTCTGATCTAGAAGTTTGATGCATTTTTGATACCACATGTGAGCTTTTACAAGTAGCAATGAAAACATTACTCAACCTGTGCCCTAAGAAATGAGGATTTATTTCCTCTGGCCAGAGGCAATTGGGTTGCACTGTCAAGGCCATGCATTTCTCCTTGAAGGAACAACTGCTTTGTGCTGCACTGCAGACCCTTGCAGGCATTCAGCTGTTGGTTTGCATAGTCCAGAGCTTCTTTGTGAACTGATAGGGAAGCAGCGAACTGATTTTATCCTGAATTGCACTGTTATAATAATCTCATTGACATTAGAGCACATACATATATATATACATATAGTAACTTCCTAGTATGTTTTTGTGACTACAGTCGGGTAGCCTGGCTTGTTTGTACCACACATTGTCTGGCCTTTTTTCTTCACAGACTATGGGTGGAGACTTCTCTGGGAGAACACAGAATGCCTCAAAGGGCATATATGCTTTTGCATGTAAGTTGATTCTTTAGATATGAAAATCAAATTAGTGCTTGTTTTTCTTAGGTAAGATCTGGCTGTGTATGGTTTATTTAAAATGTTTCCAGTAGAAGGTACATAAAGCATTTGTGTTTCCAGTAGTAAGTAGTGGTATTTGTGGCAGGAGGTATGATTAGTTTTTTCAGCTTCACAAAATATTTTCCATCCAGCCTGGAAGCTTCTAGATCCACACTTAACTCACCGGAAGAAGCGTCATCTTTTTGAGGCAAAGAGATGACAATTTTCTATTTTGGCATTTGCTGGGCTGAACAACTTAATTTTGATTCTTCTGTTGTGCTTTTGTCTTCAACTCAGGATGGTGTTTGGCAATATCCAACTTGAATGCAACACAACCCTACCCATTTCTAATGTAAAGCTTTTTATACAGAAAGCATATAAATGTTCTGCTGCTTCCTGTAAGCATTAGATGGAAAAAAAAAACCCTAGCACATACAAAATTATTCCAGAAAACAGATGCTTTAGAAGCCCCTCCTTGACCTAGAAAGCACCATAAACCTTAACCTCCTCTACCTCTCCTTTAGAAAGGCATATTGTGAAACTAGTCTGTGTGTAGCAAGGCAGCTGAAATAAAGCAGCTATTTGCTAGTCTATGAAAATTAGTTATGACTGGCCCTGAAGTAGGGTCTTTGCTTTTTAGCTCAGTTGGGAAAAGCTGCACTGGATCCAGCCGAAGGGTCAACTAATCTGGTGTATTGTCTCCAACGAGCAGCAATGCAGGTGCTCAGGGATGCATGAAACACAAATGCATGACTTTTTCAAGCCTGGCCAAAACAATAGCAGATCCCAGTGTTGCTCCACAGCAGTGAGGACTGCTGTCTGCAGGGGACGTCAGCAGCAGAAACTTCTGTATCCTCCTGTGTTTTCAGTCCCTTGATGAGGATGCTGTTGATACTGTTCTCCAGATGGTGGCATGGCACTGTTTCACTAGCATTTTTTGAGGATGAGGATGTCATTCAGCTGCTAGACACTGCTTTACAGCTGTGCAGTATTTGAAAGTAGATCAAGTAGCAACTAGAACATCATTTAAACTAGTTAACTGAACTTCTGCCTTCCCTCGTTAGCTCAAGATGTCTTCCTCCTCCTAAACCAGCCCAGGTACAGGAGTCAGGAACTGGAAGTCTATGTGACCTTCTTTGAAATATACAATGGAAAGGTGAGATTATTATTATTTTTAATCTTGACCCAATTTCTTTGGTTGAATGTTTCATAAGTAGCTGAGCGAAACTTACTATTTACTAGTTTCTATAGTGCTGTATATTCTCTTGTTCACAGTGTATTTGGAATTGAAAGGCTCTGCTAAAGGTGCTGTTTCTATATAGCTTTGTATAAAGATGGCAGAAAATACAAGGAGACTTTGTTCAGATTTGCCTCAATCTTATTACCTGAATATAGGTGTTTGACCTCTTGAACAAGAAGACAAAGCTTCGAGTCCTGGAGGATGGCAAGCAGCAGGTCCAGGTCGTTGGTCTCCAAGAGAGACAAGTCAGCTGTGCTGAGGATGTCATCAGAATGATTGAGATGGGCACTGCCTGCAGGTTTGGTGCCTTAAAACCAATAAGAATAGTCATATCCTGTTGTATCTTCATGTCTAGAAAAAAATAAGTCTGTAGCTAGTGCTTAGAGACTTAAATAGAAAATTGTTCTTCCCAGTAAGACAGGCACTGAGCAGCACCTCTGCATGAATCCAGGAAGGTAGCTAGTAGTGCTGGGTTTAGCCTTCCTTCCATAGAGAAGGTCAGAGTTCATGTTCCTATGTCCTCATGTAACTCCAAGAAGAGCAGAACTGTTCACATGAGGAGATGTCTGCTCTGGTGTTACACCTAAGCTAAGCAGAAGCTGCTTTCTAGAAGTATCAGCTAGTTTACAGGAACACAAGTAGCTCCCTGTGGCCTTGTAAGATCAAGGAATAGCAGCTGGCATCAACCTACAGTTGAAAAATGCTTTGCCTTAACTGCAGGACAGATGAGCTATTCCAATGGCAACAAAAATGCTGCATGTTGTTCAGCGATCTTGTCTAAACATTTTTGAGAGCAGGTGCCAAGGGATAGCTGCACGCTTGGTTCATCATCCTGGCAGAAAGGCTGTGGTCAGGGCAGCTCTAACATTGTACTGGTGTCTATAACCAGAGCTATAATCTGTATCTCAGGTCTCAGTTAAGTGTCAACTGCTGTGGAAACATTACCAGGCAAATGACAACCCCTTGGCTGCTGTATTACACTGTACATGTGCAGATATGCATATCCTGAAAGTTCATTCAGCACTCTGCTGCGCATGCTTTTTTGGCTGACAGTTCAGTCAAGAAGGGTTTAACATTACAGATTTCTGCCTTGCTTTAGGACAACCTCTCTTCCTTTCCCCCAGCAGCAGGGACACAGGTGGAACAGTGAACCTGCCAACCTTCTTGGGGAATAAATGGCAATGAAGGTCACAGGTTTATGGTAACTTTTAAGCCTCCAGTCTGTATCTTGCAGTGATGGGGCATGTGCAGCTGCATAGCAGAGGTAAATGCCAAGCCAGCTTGGCTGGAGAAGGGGATTTACCATGACTGTAATGTGCTATCCCAACTAATGCTGTTTAGTGGGAAGCTTGGCTGAGCTTACTGTGTAATAGCAAATGCATTAGGAAAATGACATGTGGCCTGCTCTGAGGCAGAGAGCTGCAGTGCTGAAGGCATGTCTTCCAGCTCCAAATGTAGGGCATTAGCAGTCAGAAAGGCTGGCTGAGTTGAGCCAGGCAGTTTAAATGGCCTTAAATATCTGCAACTAGGGTGCAGGTTCATATTTCTCACAGCAGTCCTTCTGTGCTCCTCTATCAGAGGTAATTCCATAATTTGTGCAAACTTTAAGTACCAATGTGTGGGATAAAGCCTGGGAAGTTAAACAACATGACTGAATGGTTGCAGGTCTTGGCTAGCACTGTCAGGACCTGTTGCATCTTCTGGGACACAGTTCTAATGCTTGTTTGCATCTTTGCTGTAGGACATCTGGGCAGACATTTGCAAATGCCAGCTCTTCCCGGTCACATGCCTGCTTCCAAATCCTGCTACGTCGAAGAGGGAAACTGTTTGGCAAATTTTCCTTAGTGGATCTGGCAGGGAACGAGAGGGGTGCAGACACATCTAGTGCTGATCGACAGACACGAATGGAAGGTGCAGAGATCAATAAAAGCTTGCTGGCTTTGAAGGTAAGCTATATGTCATGGAGCAAATAGTGCTAATGAATTCTGTTCAGCTTTGGGGTTATCTGTTCTGTATCTGTACAGTGCAAGGGAAAAGAGCAGCCCCAAAAATCCTAGTTTAGTATGTCAAGAACCTGAAAATGGTGTGTAATTCCATTTACAGTGATTCCAGGAAAGTGGTGCTGCAGTATTGTTAGGCCAGACACCGATACAGCCATTTCAAGCTCTATTCGAGTTTTCTTTTTTACATACGGTGGATATACCAGCTGTCTTGTGACAGTCAAAAACTTAGAGTATATTTAAAGGCTATGAAGTACTTAGAGCAATAGAGATGACCACCCTCCAGTCTGTTGGATTTACTAGCAACTTGTAGTTGATAGCTTGCAGAGCTGGTTGAGAAGAGATGCAGATATTGCATTCACAAGACTTGTCTTTTAACAGGAATGTATTCGAGCTTTAGGGCAGAACAAATCTCACACCCCTTTCCGGGAGAGCAAGCTGACCCAGGTGCTGAGAGACTCTTTCATAGGAACAAATTCAAGGACCTGTATGGTGAGCATGTGCATGGCACAAACACACTGCTTATGGGTTCTGCAGTTTTACTGGCTGGATAGCTGTGTGCTCTTCTAGAATGAGGGGACTTTAAAGACAGAAAGTTTCACTTCTCTGGGGGAAAAAAGTTTCCTCCTCCACTCACCTATAGTGACTGAGATGAAGTGGTGAGCCCTGGTAGAAGCAGGGCTGCATAAGTCATTTTCACACAGTGAATGTAGAGTAGAGCCTGGTGTGCTCTCAAATGGCTTTGCTGCTTGTAGAGGTGCAGCACTGTGGGTGTATACAAAGCCAGTAGAAAGCTGGATACGGGGCCACTGGTATGTCCCACAGAACTATAAAGTAAAATGGGACTTGACAGAATGGCTCACCTCTGACCCTTTGCCCTAATGTGTCCCAGCTGCCTGGTGAGATCAGTCCTGGTAGGACCATTAACAGGAGTGAAAAGTCAGATGAGGGAGTCACTGAGGTCTTCTGTTCTGTTTGCAGATAGCAATGATTTCTCCAGGCATGAGTTCGTGTGAATACACCTTAAACACATTGAGATATGCTGACAGGTAATGGCCTCTATGACTTGGGGATTTTATTCTTATTGCAGAAGGTGTTTTGGCTGTTTTTAATCTGACCTTTGGAACCTCAAGTTCTCTTGTATTGTTTGTAATGATGATTTGGAGCTTGTTTGTTAGGAGCAAATTATCTCAGAGCTGTCTTATGAAACTGACCCAGGTGTTCTGTGTGAGACATAGAGATTGTATAAGACTGTGACTAATGTTTCCTTTCCTCAGAGGAGGAGTCTGTTATGCTGGACTTGACAGCCCTGGTTTTTGTAGAGAGTTTACCCTGTCCTGAATGGTTACCTCCATGCCCTTTACTTTCCGGATTAATTTAGGTCCCATCTGTAAGTGTGTGCTAAGAATGTGTCCCTGACAGGGCCCTACAGATGGGACAAAACACTTTGTTCTTGATGGACTTTAAGTATGAGCTAATAAGGTATGGCACCTTGGAGACTTTGGGTGAAATCTGAAGGACCTGGAGAACTCAAATGCTTCTAAGCAGATGGTGAGAGTGTGTTTGGAGTGCCTCACAGCTGGCAGGGCAAGGTAGATTGGCAGGGACCAAGCCCCAGGTTTCCCTGGGTGTCTTGCTAATACCTGGAACCCTTGTGAGAGAGCAGTGGGTGCCTCCTGGTTTCTGCTTTACATGCCTCTACATATCTCCAGTGAAGTGACAAATAAAGATAAGATTTGATTATTGTCATATATTAACAAAATGATACTTGCACATCTTGGGCTTGGTAGCTTGCCTTCATTTAGTTCACAAAAGGCTGCTGGTTCCTTCCTGGAAAGCATTCTACCCTTAGAAAAGGATGTATGGTAACACTTGGCATAAGCATTCTGGAACACTGTGAATCTTGACAGATTCCCAGATTTGGATCTGGATTGAAGTTGCATTTTTTCCTTTTAGTGGACAGCTGTTCCTGCTCACCTGAAAGTACAGAACAAAGTGCAACATCTGATTGAGCATGCTTCAGTAAGATTCTAGCCTTGAGCTGGGCCCATTGGGTTCTTAGCCAGTGTGCAGGGCAAGTTCAAGCTCTAAGAAAGGGGGTATTAGGCTGAAAGTGACTGGAAATATGCATCTGACACTAGTAACTGGAATAAAATGCCCAGCTGATGTACAATCTCATCAGCCATGACTTTCATCCTTCTAGATCTATCCTGGCACAGTGGGTGCTTGCAGAAAATTCAGCCTTAACCTTTTCTTTCCATACTAACTTCTCTCAGTTGGTCATGATAAACCAAGCTGATAGGTGGAAAACAGCTTCTGTGAAAGGCTTTTGCTGCAATTAGCATTGTGTACTTGGATGTTTCTCTCCAGGGGAGGTCCTGGAGACAAACATCTCTGCTTTCTTTCTCACAGACCTCTGAGATTTCTGCCCCTGTGGGTTGTTCTGTGTGGGGTAATGTGGAACTGAAGTGCAGCTGAATGTTTCTTGCTGAACACCGAATGACTGCGGTAGCTGTTCTGTGATGCCGTAGCCCAGAAGCTTCTGGAAGAAGAGTTTGAGTGACAAATCTTTTTGTTGCAGGGTGAAAGAGCTCAGCCCTCATAATGGAAGTGGTGAAACACAAAATCAGATGGAGACTGAGAATGAGGAAACAGAAGGCTCAGGTCCCCAGTACAGTGTATGTGTGTGCAGTGGGCTGGACAGATCTCAAAGCTGGGAACAACTTGCTGTTCTTACTTGGACCATTTCTTGCAGCTCTGCAAGGATGAGGATGAAGATATCTCTCCCCACATGTTCAGCTTTCGTGAGGCTATGACTCAAATTAGTGAACGGGAGGAGAAGGTTGTAGAACAGCTTAAAGAACTGAAACAGGTATGTGGAAGAGGCAAGGCTGGCCTAGGCTGCATCTTGCATGTTGATAGCAGCTTGCTTGTCTGAGCCAAGTGCTGCTGGGGAGGCTGTGGGCTGTAATGCAAGATGCTGTACTATGGTGTTACTTTTTCCCCACTGCTAACTTTTTCCTGTGGTTTCCTGCCCAACTGGTTAAACTGGGGCATTTCAGTGTTTGCAGCCAGCCAGTCCTCCTTCCCCTCCACCTACCAACCTCTACTTGCAAATAGTGAGCACTGACTGGTACTGCTCTGTAGAAGCTCATCTCTGTTGCTTGATGTGTCAGATTTGAGGAAACAAATTGAATTTCCAGAAAGTCAATTTCTTATTGTTATCCTTGTAAATAACAGAGACTGGCAACTGAACTTGACTACCTCTTGGGAATCACGGAGCAGCCAGACTACGATCTTGAGACCTTTGTGGGCAGAGCTAAGTCCTTTGTAGAGGAGAGCTTAAGAAACTTCCTGAGTGTTGGAGGTATGCTAGTGCCTGTCTCTGACTAGCACTGTCCTTACACCAGCACACCTGTGGTGGTTTGAACACCCAGTCCTACTTAGCTCATGATTCAGATCACTTTCCTTGTTGATACCAGGGAGAGATCTGAAATGTCCTGTTGTCTGCACTTTCCAAAGTAAAATTTTGGCTAGAAACTTCCACTTGCTTTTTACTGCCATATAAAACTGCCTTCCCTTGAGCAGAATGCAGTGTCCACAAAGAGCAGATGAGCTAGTCTGTTTGCCTAGTTTGGTTACATAGTTTAGCTTTTGCCTTAGCCAGAACTCAGACTTTGAGAAATAGGTCCCAGTACCATATTCTATGGATTCATAGGGGTGTGTCCCTTGTTTTTACTCCTTTTTTCATGGACTCTTGTGTTCATGATACCTGTCCACTTACATCAATCCGCCAGACATATATTGAGATGCCACATCTGCCAACACCTCAGTTTGGCATGCCTTTGCCTTAGTATAGGACATTCATAAATCTGCCAGGAAACCCCTCTGTTGTTAGTTCTGAGCCAGTTTGGAGACTTTCCAGTTCAGCACAGGAATGTCAACTGCCTGTTTGCTTAGCCCTGCCCACTGTCATTGGAGCATCGGTGGAAGGGAGACAGCAATACAGATGCATGGGCTTGGCTGACACCTGGTAACAGTGCCAGGTTAGATTGCCTGCTTGGGACAGGGGAAGCTAAGCTGGTAATTACTACCTTTCTGCCACTGTTGCAGAAACTTGGGCTTTGATTGCCACTCCAACCTTTACAGCTGACATAGTCTTTGCCCCAGAAACAGGCCTGTGAGGGCTTGGGGTTTTTTTAAAGGTTTGGTTTTGGGGTTGTTTGTGGTGTGTGTTTTGGGGGGTTTTTTGGTGGTTTTTTTTTTTTCCCCTTTTGTCTTCCCCTCTTTTTTTTGTGTGTGTGTGTTTTTTTTGTTTTTTAATTTTATTTTTAGAGGCTGACACTCGTGGCACCAAAGTGAACTGTCAACCTGAAACAGTAACTTTTTTCTTAAACAGCCATGACTGTCCTCCCATCTCAAATGCAGCCCCATAGGTATATCTCTCCATTCACTATCTAGGGTGGTGACAAGATAACAAGAGTAAATGCCCTGCTGCCCTCTGCCTTACAGGCTGAGGAAATCTGGCCCTTTGGGATGGTTGGATTAGTGGCATCTAGTCTGAACTGCAAACTGCAGGCTTGCAGCTACTGATGAGTAGAAATGAACAAGTACAACTGAAGAGCTTTGCGGGACCAGGCAGGATTTGATGTTGGCTGAGCAGTTATTGCCCATTCCACTTCCCTCTGTGGCTCTTGCAGAGCCTTGCTGAGGGGGGACTTGTTCAGCTTCCAGGTCAGTCACCCTGTCGCTTTTGTCTTCCTTTACAGAAACTCTGGATGCTCTGGGGACTGCTATGCAGCTGGAGGAGCAAGCCAGCAAGCAGATGAGATGGAAGAGGCCTTAGTAAATACAGCAAAACCTGGTTCTCAAGCAGTCCTCTCTCTGTCTTGCATGTTTGTTGGTGGTTTGTGTCACTCCTATTTTCAATGTGGTAGAGTGTCTGCAGGTCATGCGTGCCTGAGGGTAGAGAACACAGCAGCCTCTCCCTCTTCATGGCCTGGTATCAGTGTACTTGGCAGAGTGCTAGAAACACCCCTGCAAGGCCTGGGGAGTGGACTGGAGAGTCTGCTAGATGTCTCACTTCTGGCCCTTTGCTAGTGACAATGGTCTCTTCTGATAGAACTAGATATACATGTATAGTTTTCTGGTGTACATAAAACCCTTCCAGATGTGCTTGAAACATTGCAAAACTGTTGCAAGTCTGGCTTTTCTAGAAAGAAAATTGACTTGTATGTAATTATAAAACACTGGTATTTTAAGAAGTTTGATAAATAAATATTCCTGATTATCTTCTAGCTTTATAAAATATATTTCTTGCCGATTTTGGTAAAGTCTAACAGCACCTAAAGACTTACAGGTGGTGTAGAGAGAGACTGATGTCTTTGGTAAAGTTTCTTTTTAAAGTCTTTACACTTGTAATGTTTAAAAATCACTCAAAATAAATCTTGTCTTGCAATTTTGACATCCTGCTGGCTAGAACTTGCTGAGCAAGGGGGAAGCTGGTTTAGAGGGTACGTATCCTGCACCTGAGCAAAGTTCAGCATGTAGTGAGTGGCTCAGCTCTTATAATATCATGTAAGTAGGAAGGGTCCTGTGAGATCCCCTTGTACCACTGCAGTTTACTTAGGATTTGAAGATAGCCCCAGGATGTTACTTCACATAATTTCCCACAGCTAACTTGCTGCAAACAACAGATTGCAAAGGGCTCCTTCTACCATTACTCTCTCTTTCC